TCGTCGTCGTTGTCGAGTTTTGCTGTTGTATGTACTCGACTGTATGTAGGATGTGTGTATAGTCCAAAACAAGGAAAGATTCAAGGTTAAGTTTTGTTTTCATAACATTCTTAGCATTTGTGCGCGAGCGCTTTATTCACTGTGTGTATACTGCTCGTGTTTCACCGTCCGACCGACCGTCTGCCTGTCTATACTAAGTATGTGTGTGAGTGTGTAATACGCCTCATGAATTCTTTCTTTCGCCTGTTCCGTGTTTATGGGCCCTGATCTCTCGTGTACATATACATATTGCCATAAACAATAACATACCATTTACAATCTACCGACACTGGTCGACTTTTTTTGTCTTCAACTTCTTTGATTTCAATATATATATAGAAGCTCTCTGAGAACACGGTAGATAAACAGAACAGAGCAAAAAAAACCGATGATGAACGAAATGGATGAAAATGAACAACGAAAGTAGAGCCCGAGTCAAGAGTGCGAGAGAAACTAAAAAAAACCAGCAATAGCGAATATGACAACAATCGAAGTGGCTCGTGTGATCGTTATTTGCTACACAACATCCAAACGACAACGACGATATATTGTGGTTCTTTGAATACCAGCCAACAACTCTCCATTCCATTCAAACACGATTCACTTGAACTTTGCCCACCTTTCTTTCTCTCATTTCGAACGACAATATTCTTTGTGTGTGCTTTTATATTCATATTCAGTTCGAAATCATGCAATACGGCCATGGATTTACTCGCCCAAAACAATCTGTTACTGTTTGTTTATTTATTTTTTATTCTTTCGTTTGCATTTCGATGTATGTGTGTGTGTACGAATGTTTCAAACTCAGCAAACCAAGACCAACGCCAAGAACATTCTTACATTCACTATCCAGCAATTGCAAAATGTTCGATGGATTTTGACCGTCTAATTAAAGGGTTAAATAAAATGGAAGCGCATATTATTTCGCATTGATTTTCTTGGAATTCTGTAGGGATTTTTTTTTCGCTCGTTGTTGCTGCATGTTCGTTCTTTGGCATTCTTTTTTTGTTTTACTTTTTTTCCATGTTTTTCGGCCTGTTTGTCCATTTGTCTGTATTGGCTTTGAAATTTAATTTTTTTTTGAACATTTGTAAAGCGAAATGAGGAAAAAAAGAAATACAATACACGATACAATCGGCATTCATAACAATAACAACAACAAAAAAAAAACGCAAGATAAACGCTATACAAGTCGCATATGTGGCGTTCAATTTTCATATATATTTGTTTATTCCATACTCGCAAAAAAAAGCGGTTAATAAAGAATGAACGTAAAAAGAGAATGCTTTCGAAGCAAAACAAAAATAAAACCAAAACCGATTTAAGCGTAGAAAGTGCCACATCAATTTGAACTAGTTTACAATTTGTTGATGAAATAAAAAATTGTAATTTGCTTGATTTGCCGTTGCTTTTAGAACGATAAAGAATCTGCTGAAGTACGGTATTTCTGTAGAAATGTTAAAATCCACAATTATTGGAAAGAAACGACATTTTTTCTTAATTACACATTTGTTTTCTTCATTTCGGGCGATATGAATTATTATCGCCATGTCATGGGATTGGTCGAGATAAACGAAAATCAAATTCGAAAGAAACTTCAAAATGACTGTATTTATTTTGATAAAGTAAAAAAAAAAAAATGAAAAGTGTCACCTTATCAAATAACATATTTCAACACCAAATAATTCAGTGTTTGTTTTTATTTGCTGTTGACATTTTTTCGAAGAACCAGAAAAAGTGATTTGTTTTGAAGAATGGCAAATTAACCGCATAATAAGGGAAGAGGAACAAAAAAAATGGGCGTTTTCTAAGCACATGATGTGCTTAAACGAAACGTGAAAAATTCTTTATGTAAAATGATTACAGTTTGCAGCGTGACTTTGTATGGGACATTCCGATCGGTCGACAAGTAGCACCGGTTTGTTTTTTATTTTAAATAATATCCAATTCTCTCTGTATCTGAGCGCACAATCATTTGCTTGCCACTTCGGAGTAATATTTCTACATAATAATGCATATTATTATATATTTTATATCGCTTAGTGTAGCCACTTTCGGTCGTCAACGTCATTGGATCGCGCCTTTATATCGTAGAAACGGCGACACAAAATAAGCATTGAAAGAAAGAAAAAAAAGAGGAAAAACGCTGCCCATTAAACTCTTACACGTGTGCAGTGGGAATTTTATGAGCGCGTGTTTTATAAAGTCTCAAATTAATCATTCGCTTGCGATTTATGACGTCTATTTTTATTTGAACGTAAAATGAAAAGAGAATCATGTGCCGATCGTTATCACATTTATTTACAAACATTGTGAGAGAGCCAGTTGCAGAAACAGCAGCAGCAGCTACTACAACAACAGCAAATCCAAAGTGATTTCGACTAATAGCTTTAAAATTAATATTCTCTCGCGTTCGCTATCTCTGTCGCTTATAGACGAGAGTATACGAACGAGCGCATTTTTGAGCTCACAATTCATGTGTGTCTGTGTGCATATTCACATCACAGGGGCAGAGAGTCGCGTTTGAGAAGTTCAAACATGTTTAAAAATGTGCATACGGCAAGTGTGCCACACGATTTGTGCTTTTGTTGTTTGTGCTACTGCTGCTGTTTTTTTTTCGTAAATTTTGTACGATTGCTAACACGAAAAAAAAGCGGTAACATATTAATTGCGACGAAAAACTTTCCCTTAACAAGCCGAGCACTGCAATTTCATGCATTTTGTAATTGAACCTTAATCAATGCTGATAAGCGCATAGTTGGCATTAGCGATATTATGGCTTAAGGCGGCGGCGATGATGACGATTACAGTGGCGCGTCAACAGTCACAATGACAACAATGCAAATGCAATGAACGATTAAGAAGATGCGTTTACTATCTTATCGGCCATATGCATTTCATATAAATAGTTGGTTGACTTTGTTTTAACTTGAACTCACAGATGAATTACGATGAAACCAATATTTACCGAGAAACGATTGTGTCGACGTACCCGTCGCCGGCGTTGTTATTTTTATTTGTGGTGGTCGATTTCATAAATATACTTTACACGATAATTCCCACGTCATAAGTTTTTATTTACGTGAAAAAAATAAAAAAAATAAACGAGAAACCAAGTCGAATTGTCGTAAAAAGAAACTGGTGTAAAAATCGACTCACGACTTTTGATCGAGTACAAACGATGAGAAATGGGGGTCGACAAACAGCAGATCCCAGGCCAAAATTCAAAACACATTCGATGTGTACACAGAATGAACAACGCGAAGAGTAATTCAAGCAAACGAACAACAACAAAAAATAACAAATAACTATATACAAAAATTGTGTTGTGTATGTGTGTACACTGTACACAATGCGATATACACAATTTCATATTTCTGTTTTCATTTGATTTCTTCTTTTCATTCAAAAAAGCACAATAAAGAAATCGATGTCAATGAAATCATGTAGCCGACACGATAAAAAAAATCACTAAATAAATACAAAAATACCGAAGAAAAAAAATGAGCAAATGAACGCAAACACAAAAAATAAGCATACGTAATGATAACATAGGCACGTAAATGGACTCAATTAAATTGAACACTGAACTGCGTGCCGATGAAGTAAACACCATTATTTGATTGCTTTGAATAATCTGCCAGCACTCGTGTTAGAGATCACATTTCATTCTATTGTTTACAGTTTCATTCTAATCAAATTGCTACAACGATTGATAGTTTGTATTTGATAACAAAATGCATTCTTAAACAGTTGAGACAAATCCGTCAATCATTTTATGGCTTGAAATCTTATAAATTTCATCCTTGGCATACAAATCAAATTGCAATCACACAAGGCAATACGCGAGATTACAACTTCGTTTATTTTTAAATGCGGTGCCGTTGAATGGTACATGCGATGTGCGTGCATATGGTACGATTTTTCACATCAGATGCCGGCTATTCATTTACTCTCGCCAATACGCTATGGCATAATAAAAACAAAATAAGCGCACACACACACACAACGATTCAAAACAAAACAAAACAAATAAAGAAAAACGAGGCCAGTTCATGACACTTAGTGACATCTAGGCGTCAAATATAGCAGTTAAAACAGTCGCGTGACTCACGAAAAACCAACCGATTGACAACAAAATTATTGTTTTTGTTTTTGTGGTCGAGTAGCTTATAAGATCTTTTTTTTGAGTTGGCAGCTGATTATCAGCTGATTAGAATTACAAAACTATCAGCAATTTTATACATTTTACATTCGTTTTTTTTTAATAAAATAAATTTAATTTTATTGCATTTTTAACTAATTTTATGAAGAAAATAAATCGGAAAAAGACCAGTTTCGGAGTTACAGAGAAATAGTAACAATAGCTGAAAAACTTTCAATTTTTACCGGGGATTTTTCCCTTTTTTTCATTCAATTTCAAAGCAAAATCATCTTTTTAGAAAATCTTTTACCCGTCAGTTTCTAGTCATTTAACTAATTTGGGACGTTTTTGGCTTAAGCCAACTGAGATTGAAATCATTTGCCCAAATTCAACTGTGTAAGCGGTTTTTATTGACAAAATTCATTTTTAGTTGATTGCAGCTAGTCAGTCAGCAAGTCACTTTTTTCACACGGAAAAGTTAACAAAATACTGATGATTTTAAAAACTTATCGAAGATTGTAGCTATGTACAAAAATCAATTCCAAAACTCACAAATAAACTTTTCAATCCAATTGGATTTTAATATTGTGCATGCAATTTGTAAAAGCTTTTCTAATTTTCAAATTTATGAGACTTATCTGAAATGAGTCATCATGAAAATAGAAATTCACCGAATTTATTTAAAAAAAAACACACAAATTAAAACTTGGCTGAACATCTTTCTGACTACAATCACATTCAAGTGATGTAAATTTATCCAATTTGTGCAAGATCATCGTTGTTTTAAGTCTTATTTACAGGATTAATTTCCACTTACCTTGGCCGTAAATTTCCGAAAATATTTGCACAGTTATTCTTGGCTAATTTTTCTTTCAACTTATTGCGCAATAATTTCACACTGAATGCTAACAATTCTTTTTTAATATTGTTATCTTCGTGATAACGTAGATTTACCACATCGACTTATCTCAAGATCGAACGACAGAATTAGCGTCCATTTATTGTGTGTCACATACATTTATTGATGCGGAATTCACTTCGTTTATGGTTTATCGAAGAAACGCAAAATTTATATTATAAATCAAAACTCAAGTGGTTTTTTTTTTTCAAAAGATTCATAAACGTGAATAAAAATATGAATAAATTCCTTATATCTACTCAAACCGCCCTCGTGCCAAAGTACACAGTCGAAATAAACAAACGTCAATGAAAACAATTTCATTGTTATGACAGATATCTATTGTATGATATACGTATACTGATCACCCCATCTATTGACTAACTTGAATATGCTATTGCGTCAGTGACTGCAAGTCAACATAAAAAAAGCTCTTGAAAAGCTAATATAAAATGAAATACAGTTTTTCAATAAATTTTCCAAAGTACCAATTTTTATGTTTTGTTTGTTTTTATTTGATTTCGGAAATGTTCTATCAAAATGGCTGGTTTGATATCACATTGCCTTTTGTTTACTATTAAGTAATTACAATATTTTGAACAGAAATGATTTAACCTTTTGAATTACAATCAAATTTATAAGCAAATTGTATCTATTGGTTTGTTTTTCTCATGGACTCGGTCCATTTTACAACAATCAGCACATTTTTGTTTTTAAATTAGCTCAACTACATATAGCGATCAAACAAATATTTTTGTGTCATAATAAATGTGCGAAAAAGTAATTAAAATCACGTTTAAAATATTAATAAAAAACGGAAAATAAACGATCGATTTAGTAGATAAAAAAAATGAAACTCAACATGTAACTATATGCGTGATTCGTTGTTTATAGACTTTGGAGGAAAAAAAAGGTTCATAAAATTAGTCGAGGTGTTGGAACATTCAATTTAGAACATATTCAAATTTAATTCAATAGAATTTTTGTTTTGGAAAATATTTTGTCAAATTCCATCGAATCCGTTCTATGCTTGGTTTATTCAACATGTTTATAGTTACTATTTTATCAGTTTAGTAAAACATTTATTTATACCAAATAATTGGCAAAATTCAAAGCTTATTGCCCAATAAATGTCCCTCTCTCCATATATTAGCTTATTTATAATAAATTTATGTATATATTCTTTTGTCAGGTATAAAACGATTAACAATTTAGAAAAAAAAAACATGAATTGCTTACACATGGACAAAATAGAAGAGCTGAAAGATGTTGTGTTCATATCGAAAAAATATGGCTGGCGTTTTTTCGATATATACTCAAAATTATGTAGTTTTTTTTATTGTAATTTGTCACCGACTCTCTTTTGCAAAATGTCTCAATCTGACTATAAATGTCCACAGACTGTCTTTAATTCATACAATATTTATAATTATAATGTTTGAGAAGCAGAAGAAAATACGACTAGCATCGAGTATAATATATGATAATGTTAAAAATATGGGATTGTTTTAACTTCTCAATATTTCACGAAGATAAAGACAACAACATGAAATTAAAAAAAAAAAAACAAGAAACATTCCAAATAGGTGGCTCGTTCTTAATTATTGAATATGTACGTTTTTCGAGGAGCCCCAATATCGGGGCTCACTTAGAACATCATTCGTTGTGCCAGAAAGAAAATATAACCTAACCAATTCACAGTTGTTCATTTGTTGAACTGAACATTATGTAAATATAGCATATGTCAAAGCCAGATTTAAAATCTAATTTAATTCTAAATGTTTTTGGTTTCAATTTTCATCAACTTAATAATCGAATTGTTGCATTGTTTTTATGCCAAAACTAAATCAATCACTACTGCGCCACGATGAAATATTTATTACACAGTTAATGCTAGAAATTAAACTAATATTGATATCATAATTTTTTTGTTTGTTTCTTTCTATGTGCTTACAACAACTTATACACCTACACACGAAACAAAAATGAAGAAGAAAAAGAAGAAAAAACGACAAAATGGCAAGAATTAGACTAACCATTCGGTATTTATGGTGTATGGACCTAAACCACTATAAAAATCTGCATGGAATAAATGATCATTTAACAAACTACTACATAATGGATAATCGAGACTGATTCTCACATGATTTAATTTCGTGGTTATTTGTTGCTTATCATAAAGACTATGGTCTACATTGGCATTGATGGTAGTCGATGTTGTTGGTGAATTTTGGCTCAGTGTTTTATTCAATTTGCAATTTGTGTCGGACTCTGTGTTGGGAGGATGTTTCATTACACGATTGTAATGTCACACCGCAGTTCCACCGCATAAAATTTGCCCGGGAATTGCAGTCGGTTGGGCCTCTTCCGGTCTAAATGAGTTTGTGAAACGCTGCATATTTTATCAAAAGAAAAGACAGAAAATGAAATGATGTCGCCATCCTAACTCTCCATAATCAATTTAATAATTTATATTGTACTTACGTATTGTATAGTTCCTGGAGTGATGAGGATTTTGTACACAATATACAATGGAATGCAAAGTATTGAAGACAACGTAAGTGTCCAACCAAGTGCTATACTCCAATCGGGATATTCGTATTCTTCGCCCAGCATTTCTTCATATCCAAGCAATGAAAAAATGAAAATCACAAGCAAAAATGTTGGACTGATGTACATCCAGCATACACGCCAATATAGTCCGGGTCTTTGGCCAAGCATCGATTCAACATCGGTGGAAAAATTATCAACGCCATAAAACCAAAAAACACCGGCCGCCTCGACAAATACAACGAACAGTATTGCCAAACCAGGACCATACACATTTAGAAAATTGACCAAATAAACACCACCCTAAAATAAAATGAAATACAAATTCATATCGAATGGTCGAAACAAATCAAATCAACTCAATGAAATTTATATGAGTGTGTACGAATAAAAATGGGAATAGGAAAAAAATTAAACAAAAAAATCGAATCTCAAACATGTCGGTATTTTTAACGGAACGTTTCTTTTTGGGCAATGGTGTAGCGCACAACATACTTTGGTATTCCCCCTTTTATTCCAATTGACTCGATATAACGAGTCGAGTCGAGTCAATTGAGGTGTGCCACATTTGTTTGATTTGTCAAAATCAAACCGCGAATATAAAAGGTAATGGGACAAAAAGTAAATGAATTATTTAACAATGCTTCTATTGATATTTTTTATTCTATCCAGCGGTAAAATTACCGTAGGTCATTTCTGACCGTTAGTTCTAGTGTCGTTATCGTCATCGTTATGAATCGATGATTTTGTCTACCAAACACCAAAGTCGTTTAGTTTGATTCAGAAAAAGAACTCGGTTAGATAAGAGACATGCGATTCTAAAAGCAACATGCAATGCAAACAAAAAAAACCGACGGAACTGTGTTAAGAAAAACCACCGAACCATAAATGCTGCATTTGTTAGTGGTTAAACAACTATTTTTTTCTTTCTGTTGACAACAAACACACTCGATACTATTTTTTTGGTTCACTCTTTCAGCGACTTATGAAAAAGCGGTAAAATAGCAAATGGAATAGCGTGCATTGACGACGACGATGGCGGCAACAACAATCAGTCGATATATGTAAATATTCATCGAAGACTGTAATCCGATGATCAAACAGTATCCACCACTTTCCGTAAATTACATTTGAAATTCCAAATAGATTGCCATCAAATAGGGTAGAGAATAAGAACAATTTATATTAAACAACCGCATGATTTAAGTCGATTGTTTCTTTGAATCGTTGCTGTTCTTGGTCGATGTTCTTGGTTTGAATTAGTTATTGATAAAGATCAAAGTTACATGAATCGCAGCTACTTGATAGCAATCACAATAATTTAAATCGTATTTTACATCTCCGAACACATCGTGTTAAAGTAAAAGTATTTTTTTTTATTTTACAAGAATCGTTCAACGATTTTAGCAAAAGGGTATGTCATCTTTTTTCAACATCTGTGCCATTCTTCTGGAAATTGTTTTTTTTTCCGATCCAATAATGTGTAGCTCATAAGAGAAAAGTGCTCATTGCGACCATGGATCGTATTGTTTTTTCCACTTGGAAAATCATTCACTAAACGATAACATTCAAAGTGTATGGATGTCATCAATATGTATGAGCAGATAAATCACCCGAGTAATTACGATTATGTGTGAATTAATCGTCTTGAGCTGTGATTTTGTTTAGTCACCTTGAGCTACGATAAGAAAATGAAAAACTGTAACAATTACAGGCCGAACAGAGGACACAGTACTGCTAAATATTGGGCCTGGCACAGTTAAATGAGTCTGCAAAACGTGCTTTGTTTTTCGCTGTTGTTGAACAAAACTCATTTATCGGGATTGATAACATGAATAATGTATGAATCAAATGGTTATGCAGTTAAACCATACCTTAAATTTTCTGATTGGATGATTTTCGCAGTTTTGGATGCGTATAAAATTTCCAACACTTTTAATATATGTACGCCCGATTTCAGGTAAGCGCCGCACATAAAAAAACAACGATGCTACCCTATGATGTGAGCATTGTTTATCACTTATTACGCCATCGAAAATATTGATGTGGCATCGGTCAAAATAAAATGCTCAATAAGGCAGCTCCAGAGGTGGCAACAAAAAGTCGCACATTTGATTAAAGTTTGAATGCTTCAAAAAAGAAAAAGATTGGGCATGTACGAAAAAGCAAGCAAAATGAAAAACACACGAGCGCTCCCTCATAAATGAATATGAAGCCAAAAGGAAATTGATTTTCACCATTATTTTATTAACAATTTGTTAGTTTGTTTAGGTTAAACCATTTGCTTCTATTCGATTGGCGCATCGGAAAAAAGATTCACACAAAAATCAAACGTTAATGTTGAAGTTAAAAAAAAAACTTCGTTTACGCAATGGAATTCGTTGACAATTAACTAGCTTTTGTGAGCGACTCATTTTGTTTAACAATGCGGGCGATAAAAGGAAGTGAAAAGCATTAACTTTGATGATATTTCTTTGATGTTTTCAAAGACAAATATTACGCTTATCTGATATTCATTGGTAAAATGCTTGAAATGACCAAACAAGCAAATTACTTGATTGCAACGATGCTGCAACACAATTATTGAATATTTATATTTCACAATATCAAAAGAGACATTTGAAATGGTGGATAAAAATAATCGTCGATAAAAATTCCGAAAAACATTCGAATCCGGTCGATTGTCCGTTTTTTTGCTTTTTTTTTTCAATTTGATCCAAATGTGTGGCAAAACATCACGTTATATCATCAGTCTCCATATTGTCGATATTTAGGCGGTGATAATGGTTCAATATAGGTTTGTATAGTGTTCACCAAAATAGACAATACTGTATACAATCTTATCGAGTTGTAAATCAAAAGCAATATGCACTCAATAAATGTGTTTGTGTGTGTGTGTGTGTGTGGTGATGACGATTTGATGCACGTTCTTCAAATGGTTTTTGGTGTGAAAATCGTTAACTTGTTAGTAGCCAACTAACCAAATGTCGCGTCTAACATGGATAAGCATTTAATTTTAATTGCGGCGAGAAGCACATTCGCAATGAATCAATTTTAATCAATTGAAACGCTTTTACGTTAGTCTTCTCGCCCCAATAATACTGACGACGCGCGATATTCACACAGACACACTCTCTGTGTTTGCACTAGCTATGTCCATTAGTGTGTCATGTTTATTTGATTTGCTCAAGGCGCATTTAACAAGTAGATATTGCAGAGAGAATAGTTTAAATAGAGAAATAGATAGAGAGAATAACAGAGGGAACGAACGAAAAGCAGGAATCGATATCAATAGAGATAAGAGCTCTGGAAACGTGTAAACGTTAAAAAAAGACGAAATAAAAAACGCCATGAATTATACTCACATAAGTTGTCGTTGGTAAAGCACATAGATAAATACCAATCAACAATACTAGCACGAATATTTCACGGCGGCGTCCAAGCATTCGTGGATATTCATCGCATAAGGCTGTTATCATTGCTTCAAGGCCGCCAAATGTACTGTCTATTCCAAGTGTAATTAACATGAGGAAAAATATTATGGACCAAAACACCGAACCGCTCATCATTGCTATTGCCTCTGGATACACGATAAATACTAAACCCGGCCCTTCCAGACCCACCTTATCGACCGTTTTATCCTGAATATGCGCCATGTAACTATGTTAATGTATACCATCGAATACACAAAAAACGAAACCACAATGGAAAAATGTTATTTGAGAAATTACGGATTTTTAGTCGAGTTTTTATTCCATGACTTTTATTTGGCTTGATTTTTTTTTCAAATGGATTAAAGTTGATTTCTTACCCAAGCACAGAGAATATTACAAAACCAGCTAAAAAGCTTGTTAAACAATTTATACTACTGGTAAGTAATGCGTCTCGATAGCAATTATTGTTGAATTTATTGTAGCTGGCAAGTGCGAGTAGTGTACCAAATCCTGGTCCTAATGAAAAGAATATTTGTGATGCGGCATCAATCCACACCTGTTGATTGAATCGATAGCAATAAAAAAAAGTGTGTGCGTGTTGTTGTTCTTTTTAATTGTACATATTTGAAATGTGGCATTGTTGCATTGACATTTAAATGACAATAATTGTTGTAAGTGCATCGATATTTTCTATGTAAATTGTAAAATGATTAGATGATTAAAAATGCGAATGGACAAACCTTGGAATTTTTTAGTTTATGCCATTGTGGTGTAAGATAATATCGAATCCCTTCGGCGGCACCTGGCAACGTAACGCCACGAATCAATAGAAAAATGAGTACAACGTATGGCGCTAATGCTGTAACCCAAACTACTTTTCCAGCGCTTCGTACACCTTTCCATAGTGAAAAATAGACGAGCACAAACACGCTAAATACACAAATTGCCAACGACGGTTTTATCGGTCCCATGTAATCCAAACCATTCGATTTATGCTGTTCCAAAACGCTTCGCCTAAATTCATTTCGAATTAAAAAAAAAGAAACAAAACGAGATAAACGCAACGATGCATATTCAGTTGCAAAACGTTCCATTCGTAACATCATCATTACGAAAGGACAATTGAACAGATATTTGTTTTTACATATCCATTATGGCATCCGTTTAACGGAGAGTTCATCCACTTAATGCAAAACTGCATAACATTTTAATGTGCGGATCATACAAAACCAAATCAAAGGGAGAGAGAGATAAACGTAAGCTCAATTCACTCACTCGAAAAATTCTCTGGCAGGACTTGTTGCATTTGTTAGATTGGCTTGTTGTGATACTGGTTTACAAGATGCCGTATTCCATTCGTTGTTGCATGACGTCCACGGCAGCTCATAGGTAAATGATGCGTACAGATAGTAAACAGCCCATCCAATTATCGTATTGTAATACATACCCATGTATACATCGATCAAACAGATTGCATAACCAACGCCTGAAAAAAAGAAAAATACAATTTTAAATAGTATTTGTTTATGTAATTCTTGCATATATCGTATCCAAATGAGACTATGACGTTTCATTGTTTATTCCATTAGTACAATAACGACTTTGGAACGATGGAGATGGATCTTAAGCGGATTCAACTGCTTAGCCACACACATACATTTTCCGTTAACATTCGTTTTGCTTGCCACTTCTTTATAATCTCATTTACATAAAAATAAACTTGACATTGATTGCAAATGGTTAATCAATTCAACATTGACTTTGAATCAATTTTCACATCGGTCAATTTTGACAATAAACCACAATCAAATGATTTTACCGATTCTTGGACTTCAGAGGAACTAGAAGAGAGAAATACATTTTCTGCTATACTTTGAGTCATCTATATTAAGAGATACTTTTACAACGATTTTCGTGCGATTTTCCCTTCAATTTATTTTATAAAAGCTAAATCGCACAATTCCATATGTGAAATGAAATGCAATGTATGATTCGTTCTACGGAATAATAATTTTTATCTAAATTTTCAATTCAAGCACACTTATAACACCCATTGAGCTGAAGCAACAGTCACAGTCAGTGTGAAGCAACATCACATATTTTGCACGTATTTTGATATTATTTATTCATATTCAATATGAATCATGGAATAGAAATACACTCAAATTAACTCATTGCATAACAATGATAGAAATTTATATTGAAGTGTGCCAACAAATAAAGAACGCATCGGTTTTGTGTGTTCGCATTTAAATGATATTAACCGAATAAATAAAATCAATCAAAGATGTACGGATTTGACGATGAAAACAGTTTTGCAGTATTTCGCGAAGAATTTATGATGCAAACAATAAAAGTTATAGAAATATTTAATTGTGTTAAAAAATCATGTCGCCATTCAAATGGCGAAGAACAAGCAATAATTGTGCCAATTGAAATGAACGAAAAAAAAGAAAGTTCGTTAGAAAAAATGATGTAACAAAACTGAATAGACGAATGTTTCATAAAAGTTTCATCGAATATGAATTGCGTATCGAAAGCGGAAACACAAATGTTGGAGACAGTCAAGGGATAAAATATACGGCAACCTTGTTGGTTTCGAGTCAATGCAATTGTATGGATCGTGGCTTATTGCCTTCATGACTTTCGAAAAGGGCCGATTGTATGCGTATATCACTCTTCTGCTATCTCACAAGTCAAATAGATTTGGGTAATAAACATTGTACAACCAATCATCCGTAAAAAAGGGAATAAAACAAGAGCCGGAGATAGCTATATATTTTTTTCATCTCATCATAAACGTTTCAAATTGAAATCATTATTCTAAAATGTCCATATACTTACGGTGTGAAATATTTGCAAAAATTACAAACTAAAAGTGATTCTCTCTAGAAAAAGGAGAGTGAAAAGAAAACACAAGAATCAATTCACTGACAAATAATTCATTTCCATCTTCTTTTTTTCTGTTCCGCTCCATTTCCCCCTATCTTATGTTGTGAGCAAACACCACCGATGAAATATTGCAACTTTTGTCGAGATAAAAATTGATTTAATCTCACATTAGCAAGGGGAAAATGAATTGGCACACAGGTTGAATAACTAGAACGATGGATATAATTTCTTTTTTCATTTATCGCAGATTGTTCCGAAGAAATGAGTCTCGTTTTTTTTCGTTTATTTAAAAGTGTCTTTAGAAAGAGGAGAAAAAAGTTTTCTCAAGATTTTTCTCATTATTGGTGGTGCTTTGTTCTATGAATTTAATTTAGAATGGTTTGTAATGATTGTTTTTTTTAAGAATTCCACATTTTCCAACTGACAAGTAATTGCCAAACAAAGAAGCAATAAGACTTTCATAAATTCAGATAATTGTTTTTGAATTTTGTCTTCTTTCGCACATTCACACCTGTTGTTGTTTTATCATAATTTTTGAATTTGTGGACGACTTGCACTTTTCAAAAACGGAAATGAAGACTGAATGTAGAATTTAGCAAACACATTGACTAAACATTGAATTGTTACAAATATAATTTCCGTTTTCCAAAAGCAACATTAATTAGCATTCAACACATGGCATTCATCTAATTAGCGCACATTTGAATCACAACAAAAACTGATTTTTTTTTAATTATGTGTCATGAATTCAATTAAGAAGAGAAAAAACACAAAATATTTCTAATAAAATTTTAGATTTTTCTTAAAATTATGATTATCGAAAAATGAATACCTTTTAATGCGGGGCATATTTTCTTCCAAATGGTTAAACAGCCACATCGATGAAATTGTCCCAGAGCCAATTCCATGTAAAACAATGGCAAACCACCAAGAACCAACATAATACAATAAGGTATTAAAAATGCACCTAAGCTCAACGAAATACGGGAACAAAACAGAGATGAGTATAAAAAATCGACGAAATCGCATCTTTTGTTTTTTTTAATCACTTACCGCCGCCGTTTTGATAACAAATGTAAGGGAAACGCCAAACGTTTCCCAAATCAACTGCAAATCCAATAACGGCCAATAAGAATTCAGCCTTTTGACCCCAGGTTTCACGTTCCCGATCTGGTATGATTGACACAACCGTTAAACGCTACATTTTGTCGAAGCAAAACAAAAAAAGAAAAACAAAATTACAATTACACTTTCCGAAATTCCCAAACTAAATGAAAATCTCTGAATTTGATGGAGTAAAAACAACAGAAGGCGAGTAAAGACGAAATAATTGCTTGCGTCAAAAAAAAATGGTCAATCGGGTACCTCTTTAACTTTATGCGATGATCTCGATTTCACCATTTTTGGTTGCAATGGATCACTTTCTTTGGCCATTTTATCACCACAATCATCTGAAGCACTCCCTTCGGCACCGCTATTGTTCTCATCGCTAAGACCGTCACCAACACTACCATTCGGTTGCTGTTGTTGCTGTTGTTGTTGCTGCTGCTGCTGCTGTTGATGATTCGAAAGTGTTCCAGATGCATTTGAAATGGTTCGACGCATATCAGACAAATTCGTATTTGCACCGCTACCGTCTTTTTCAATATTACGATTTCCCTCCTCATTCGTCATGTCGTTCATTTGAAATTTGGCTATTTTTTTCTTCGTTTTTCTCACTTTAAATTTACTTCAAATAAAATTGATTGAATAAATGATCAATGCGTTCAACAATCGCAATTTGCATTGAATGCAGAAAATTTACGATGTCAATTCAATCGCCGTGTGAAGCATCGTGCAGTTCTGACATTTAAAAATGTAAAGAAAAGGAAAAATAAACAAACAAATATATTTATTTGTATTTTTTTTAAATTTCATGTTCAATTATCTGTATTTCAAGTTATTTATTTCTTTGTTAAGTAGCATTAGTGAAAGTCCTTGAATTGCTTTTAATAATGATTATTCATACACGGTCCGAAAAACCAAATGAGAAATAGCACGCACACATTAGGAGAAAACATACATCAACCATTGTCAATCCATAAAATAAACAAGCAATTTTACAATTACACATGTCAATTGTCATCGAATGCAAATCCCACGTGTTGTTATTTACTGTTGTTGTTTTTGTTTTGCTTTAGTCGCGCGTATAAACTACTTTTCCTCTTTAATTCATCTTTTTTGTATTCGGATTCTTTGAATGTTGTTTGGATTCATTTGACGTAAATGAAATAATTGTTGCATTTTCAAATTCCAAAGGAATTCATTAACAACACTTTATAATCTTTGTGTGCACATGGAATATTGAAATAGGCGCGCAATTATTCTATTTTAGTTCGAGAGCATTTGAGACGATCAAAGTTAATCAAACAGTTGCAAATACGAGACAATAGAATTTACCTCGAACCACAATCGAAAATGATGTTTATATATGCGCACAGTCACTTTTGAAATACACAATATTTCCGTCCAAACAGTCACCCAGACCAGTTAATCAAAAATTTCATTTTGAAATTGCTGTAGTTCTTATGCATTAACAAAAATCATATCCGCTGTGAAAAATGCGTGGAGTCTCTCAACTGTTGCCAATTAAGTGCAAATGATGCACATTTCAAAATGTTTCAATTGCATTATGTATCCCTTTTTTTGAAAGACATCTCCAAGATGTTGAAACGTTATTAATTCGAAAACAATAAACAGATGATTACTATCTTGTTTATTGGATCAAATATGCAACAAACTTTACCATCAAGTGTGGTTTTGCTATGCTACAACAACTTTGACAAATTGAAATTAGACCTTATTCTCATAGTTACAGAGGATATGATGAACAGAAACTAAACATTTCAAAAAGTCTCAACTAAAACCACTATGTTGAATAACGTATTTAATCTCAAACTATAAAGATTGATTCTAAGCTCAAACTCAAAACGAGTTTTTACATCTTTTCTCTACGTTTGTCTTTGAAACTTCCATTAGGAATTGGGCGTTTTCTGAAATGGAACGGTGCTTTCAGCACTTTTTCCAATATTTCGGGAAACATGACATTAAAATTGGATACATTTGAGAAAGCATTCAAATTCGGTAGCATTTTACAATCTAATAAAATGGAATTAAGGCTGGGTTAATTGAAGCGTGTTATTAACGTTGTCATGTGTTTGTATTCATGGAGTTTTATCAAAGAAACATAATATAAATGTGCTGGCATAAATGAATAAAATAGAAACCACCGAATATAGAAGAACAATAAAATTGTGCTGACTGTGCAAACTGTAAAATAATTTGATTTGCGTCATTGATAAGCGTAATGCTAACGAGATGAATCCCACAATCTCTGAAAACCATGTCATATATTTATGTAATTAGGTAATGTTTTATACCAAATGGGAAAATCTATTCTATTATTGAAATGTTTGTTAATTGCATTTTAAATCTTTGCAAAAACGATTTGATTTGGATTTGCGCTTCATTTGAAATTTCTGCATGTTTTTTTGTCAAATAAGAAGAAAAAGTCGTGTTCTTCAAAAAATACTGTTCAATTTGCGAAAAAATAAATAAATGATTCATTTTTAAAGAAGAAAGAATTAACGTGCAAGATAAATTAATTGACTTTCCAATTTATGCTGTCTGCCCTCTCCGAAAATGTCCATTCTTAAATGTAAAATTGAATTTTTCATCTTTTTGAATGTTTCTTTGTGACTTCATGCGTTTCGGAATTATGGATCTACAGGTGGCTGGATGAATTTGAAGCAACAGGAGTACACACTGCACATATTACAAACACCATATTTCTCAAAATGGTCGTAATTTTGATTTTTGTACTAATTTCAAAATATTGATGAAATACTATTTTCAATTTGAAATGAAGATCTCTTGTACATTTTGAATAAATCAGACTACTTCGTATATAAAGTTCAAAATTTTAACTTCAAATTAATGGATTCAAAAATTATATTTAATTGATGCAAAAAGAAATTCAAAGTAAAAATAGTCCGGTAACTGAATATCTATAAAAAAATGGTGTGGTTAAAAAAGCTACTTACTTTGAATAATTTATTGTTGTGAAGATTGTTTCCTTCGGGGTTGGTTGGAAATTGTTGTGAAACGATGCTTAAATGTGTTGTTTATTTGAATGTTGTGAAACAATGAATGTGTTTCAATTGCGTTCAATTTACGAGTAAAATGAAACAAAAAGCCAAAAGCAGTTTTAAATGTGCTTTTGGCTTTGGTAATCGATCGCGTAATTTATAAATGGACTCGAATGAAAAATTTCAAAAACTAATTGATCCATTGTTCTTGCTTATTTTTTTTTTATCAAATCAAAAATAAAATCAAATTAACATCAAACGTATTAAATGAAATTTAAAAGTCCCACAGCACACGAGGCGAACAAAAATGATGGTGAACAATCTCGCCACGTCTATCTGAAAATCTTGATCAAAACTTTGGAAATTGATTTAGTCACATTTTGAAAGAATATTTTTCCACTGACAAAAAAAAAATTGAAACTGAAATTATTTTATGAAAGAAAAAATAAAACGTTTCGCTTGTTTTCGGTGTAATTTTCACTAACCGCAATCATTCATTTTTAATGAAAAATATTTTTTTTGGCATTTGGCCACAGAAAAATTGCACAAACAGCGTAAATTGACCGATCTGTGGACATAAGGTCTATCGCCACTTTATCACAGTCAAAATGATTTCAAAATAAAATTGTTTCTCTGTCTTTTTTTTAAATTCGTATTCGATTCGGGATGCGACTGGATTGTGACAAAGAGTGAATGAATGTTTGATTTTGAGGAAAACAAAATAAAATCAACTGTTTCACTGAGCTGCACTTTTACAACTGAACCAATGTTTAAACAAAACACAATGATTTAAGAACAACACACCAACCAAACTAATCCAACCGTTCGTTCGATTTGAATGAACGCTAACGTGTATATGGCATCGAATATATGGCGCATCAACATTGGCATGATTGTTGGAATTGTTAGAATGGAGTGAATATCATGAGCTGGTGTATGGTGGATGCGGGCCGACCATTTTCATTTTAGCTCAAACTGCAAACTCAAACACTTGTTGTATGTATACAGAGATAAAATGGTTGCATGTGTGTATGTGTGTTATCACTATTCTGACGGTGCCGCTAAAAATGTATGGGAAAAACGACGTGAAAAAGGCTGACTTTTAACCACTCGAAAACTGCAAGAAATGAAACACTTTCAGAATTCGTATGTATTTATACAGTTTGGTGTAGCACAACTTACGAATTGTAACTGTGAGTGAATATATGAGACGTTTTAAATACGCACCTAAACGCCCATCGTATTCGCTACTTGCTAAAAGTGACATAATGTATTTATGTGACCGAACACTTCCTCCCCCATTTCAACTAATACAGTCTCGGATTTGTTTGGTTTCATTTTCATTTTGGGCTGACATCCCATTGAATTTGAAGTGCATACGGATATGTTTTGAACGAAAATTGAGATGAGCATATTACTCGCCGTTAAAAAAAAGTAACACTCAGACAGATAAAATGCAAGCCATTTGGAGATTGATGGAATTTTAGTGATTGAAACGAAGGGCGGCAGATCGAAAAAATATATGCCATATCCGATAAGGGTGATAAACATAGTGAACCAACAAGTGTTTATGAGGCTACTGAATAAAATTTGAATTGAATTTACACAATGAATGTATGCCCTTGGTTCGTGTGTGTTTGTTTTTTTTTTACTTCGTGTCTGCAACAGGTTGCTTGTGCACGTATGCCATCGATGACGACGACGAAGACGACAACTAAAGAAATATAGTAAAACAAAAAAAATAGTTTCTATAGATACTAAGTAGCGAAATGGCTTTTCGTTCGTGTTCTATTTACATGAGTTTGACTACAATACTTGTGATTTCGAGTGAAGTGCACAAACAATAGATTTTATGCAGTGGCTTTCCTTTCGTCCCTTTTCTATCTCTTTCTCTCACTGGTTTCTGTTTTTCATTTTTCACTTATTCGCCCAATGAATATGGCGATCAATACACACTATCCCCAATGAAGGAAAGCGACAGGCAATCGAATATGTGGCAATCCGTTGAGAGTTTAAATTGATGAAAAACCACTTTACATTGCAACGACTTTATATTATATCTTTTTTTTTCTTTGTCGTTCGACTCTTTTACCGACTTTCGATATAAGTTGGCCAGTAGTGTCTACGTGAATAATGCATGTGCTGTTCGATTGTTGTGGAAATGTGTGATTTGTGGCTAAGATTGGAAAATCAAAATCTTTGCCGTTCATCACACAAATATCAACAAGCTTTCCTTCTTTTTACCATCAAACATTATCATCTATTTAAATCGAGATTGTTTAGAGATGAACGAAAAAATATTGCGCGCAATCGATCATTATTGATTACAATCAATCTTCGTTTAAACATTCTACATTTTTTATTCAGACAAACTAGTTAGTTTTTGACAAATTTTCTGCGTTCACCAGCATTTTAATTCAAACCAATAATGATGATAATGATGATTGAACATAATATAAATTAAATTCAAATATCAATATAACGCTATCGAAACACAAACAAATATTTATATAAACAACATCCAAAAAAATAATGTTTATGCATAATAAAAACTCGTGCACATGTTGAAGCGGGAAAAGAATTTTTTTTTCACCAATTTCTACAATAAATAAGTCAGCACTTTGTATTAAATTACAAATTAATTTTCACACTTTCAAAGATGCATGTATACACTCGTGACCAGCCCACAAAATCATTATTGATTGCCATTTACATTTTGTGCGCTCCTTCTCTCACATACACACATAAGCGTGCACAATTTTTGCCCACTCTTACTCTGCGCAAATTGAATAAGATAAATTGGCGCTTGTGCCAACTAAACAAATATTTAAACACATCGACTGACCGCTTGCAAATGATTAAAATCAATTTTAATTATGCCCATTTAATTGTTGCCCTTTTATTACATTTGTAAAATGAAACCCGCGCGAGCGTAAGTGTGTGTGTATGTATGGAAATTGGACAGAATGAGTCAATGGTGGCAGGGATAGGGGGTATATGACTCAAACAAAAATTCAAAAGAGATAATCTATTGAATGTGTCAAATACAAGTGTAAGATCAAAGCAATTCACAGTCACATACCCAAATGCACCAGCAGAATTGTGCGCTCGTTCTTTCAATTGAATCGTGCCTTAAAATGTGAAGGAAAAGATGATTTGGCACATTTTTGAGCCATTTATATTATCATGCCATAGCGATCAAAAGAGTAAAGTTAATTTTTCATTAAATAAAATGCAAAGTGTGTGTATCATTTGACAGCGATGTTCAGAGCCGTTTAAAATTGTAAAAGTGGCTTTTGTGGCGGTTAATGCCATGCGGTCAATGGTTGTCGGTTTTTTTCTGTTCCAATTTAGAGTGTTGGATTTATCGTCATTAAAGCTCATAAAAATGTATGGCAGCACAACAAAAATGGCTTCATTTGCATAACTGTACACAATTAAATGCATTTGCAATAAGATACATATGATTTAAACAACAATCAACGAACAAACGAACGATAAAAGAACAAAAACCACGCGTAAATATTTTAAAAGCTAACAAATTATTAATCATGTTTAACTGGATGGTGAATTTGTCAATGAATGAAAATAATCTGATCTGAATTGTTTATGACGTATTTAGAAGTTATTTGCATGTGTTTTTTTTGCTAAGAGATGTATGGAGATGTAACGAGGTGACAAAATACATGTGTTCAATTTGTGTGTATGTGTGAGAGAGATAGAGAGAGAGAGAGAGAGAGAATGAAAAACTCGATTATCTTGCATTTGATCTGATTTCAATTTGTTTAAGAGTCTCTATCACTCCCTCTCACGCGCTCACTTAAATAAAACCTTTGCGAGAAAACAATTAAGAAAATGAGATGACAACAAAGACGCAAATACCAGTATCAGTTTGTGTGTTTACGTGTTGGATCTATTTGTCATTTTCCGTTTTTCCGAGTGCAACATTTACGTAATTAAAGGCCTCGATTACTTTTATTGGAATTGCATATATACATAAAAGTGCACGCATGCAATTTATATCCGAGCCAAATGAAATCAAATTAGAACAATTAACAATCGTGAAATAGATCATCGAAATTAATCTCATTATATGCAGCGACAACACCAGCGGCTGGCTCAATAACAGTAAACAATTTTGAATTTGAAATAAGCCGATTGATTTTCAATTTGTTTGCGTTGTTTCTCTCTCTATCTCTATGTGTGTGCGTGTGTGTTGCCACCTAAAAGTAGTAAAACGGTAAAAAAATTCACATACACACCCACAAATTCCCACATGTATGCATTATATGGAGTCGATGTAATTCAAACCAATCTCGCTTTCAATTTCGATATACAAGCGAATGAATGTCGTGTTTTGTTTTGTTTTGCTTTCCTTCATCGTCAAAAGACATGCTATCAGTTTTCTCTGCAAGCCGCTTGCGATCGCGTCATTTTGTTTGTTTTGCTTTAACTTACGTCATCATCATTCGGCGACACAATTATGCCGCAAAAAATCGTCATTGCCTTATTTTTTCATTATTAATGACGATTCAATGTTCAGATTTGTTCAACATCATTTCAACAAAAAGTTTAAGTGTTACACACAAAACAAGATTCAGCATCCAATAAGCACTGATTTAATTACAATTTTAAAAGAAAAATTCAAAATTTCTAAATTTGAATAGATTTTGCATTTATTCAACGCTTTTTTACATTTAGAAAAGAAAAAAACAAACAGTTGAACGATTCAAAAGTTTTGTACATTGAAGAGTGTTCAATATGTTATTAAACTCATTAATTTCTGAAACGTATGACATTTTAAAATCGTGAGAGTGTAACCTCAATTGTTTAACTGGCTGTTCAATTCGAAATACATAAAAATCATTGAAAATGTTTTAAACAATGTTTAATTTAATAAGAGTCAGTTCACAGTTGGCAAAAAAAATCTTGTAGTACAATTATAGTAAGTCAGCTTTGGTGGTTTGATTTACTATGTTAAAAAAAATCCTTGCAAAAAGTTCACTGAGTATGATTTTTTCGCTGCGTGCTACTCATACATACATTGTGTTTTGACTAGTAGGCCACATTTTGCATGGATTTTTTAGTCTCTTTTGTGCGGAATTTCTTCAACTTTGTGAAGTTCAATACGTGTGTATGCTATCTTGGAATCACGTTATCACGGAAATCGTGGTTTTAGCTTGAAGATTCGCCAAATCAAAATGTATTCAAGAAATGAAGTATATTCTTCAAAACTATGTTGATTCGACATTTTGAACATGTGTCCACCCCCTAGATCATCGTTGAGCGTCATAGAACTCGTCTAATATTCTACGCTTCATTTTCTCTAGATCGAAAGTTTTGTAGTGCATCCGAAAATGTACAATATTGTAATTCAACACCAGCCGATCAGCTTATATTGATTGAGAACTTGGCGCTGTTGAATGACAGTACATTGAACATCAAATTACAAAAAATAATTCAAATGATCTTTTACCTTTTCTATTTTCTATCAATTGAAGTCGATCGTTAGATATGTTCGAGTGATTTGGTTGTTTTGCAAAGGATACTGTGATAATATTGAAATGCACATTTACCTGAAAAACATGTATTTGAAGAGCATTAATGGATATTTATTCACTTTTTAGGGAAATTTGGATAGCCTCTGAAAACGTCCGCATTTGATAGATGGCATTAAGACAATATTTACATAGGAATCGGTTAGAATATTCGTGAGCTCAAGAAATTTGTTGAAGTAAAAGAGCAACATATTCATACAAAAAAAGTATGGGCAAGTTGCAATTTTATTAAAGGTTTATACTTTTCAAAATCCATCCAAACAACATTGAAGACAAGGATTTGATCTAGATTCAGAGTACACAATGCTAGATGACGAAATAATAATGTCTCAATTAGATTTGCCATTTTTGAGATCTATGACGCATGTTTTTCAAAAGAGACTATTTGTTGAATAAATTTTACCAACTGCTTCATTACATTCACCAATTACATTCATGGGCTAGGGAGCTATGATGGAGATCTGTGGTTTCGAAAATGGTTAATAATATTGTTGATGGTTGATTTTGTATTAAAGCTACCAAAATTGAATTAAATATTCCGCATTTTCTCTCTGTGCGACCTTTTGAAGCCATACCAAGCATAAATTGCGTTTCTATAAATCCTGTTATTTTTTCACCGAACAACAATGCGGATGCATAAAATTTTCTTTGGTAGGTATGTGCCTACTTTTGGCAAAAAGGTGCTGCATCATTTTGCGTATCGTGCAAATGCTTGCTCCGATGTATATCAATCATAGTAATAAATTGAAAGTTTCTATTTGATGTAACAGGTATAAAGTTGCGATGGTAAGCTTTTAAGTAACTAATCATACAATGAAAGTGGAGGGCTACTCACGTACATATGTATGGACTTTTTGAAAAATTGTAGTGGTTTGTTTGGACTTTCTTGGGGATTTCACTATCGAGCTTCATTGAGATCATTTATTGCTCCACTTTTCTGTGTTCTTCACATCATACAAATGCAGAATCACAACATGGAGTAATTTGGGTCACTCCATTTGTTTATCGAAATAATATAGCTTAAAAGCTTGGATATGGTGCGGTTTTTCGCTAAAGCATAAATGATTTTAGTCGTATTATGAAACGCATGTGTTTCACTTCGTCTACAGTAGGATCTTCTTTGGAAGGTGTTTTAAAACCATTAAACCTCCTCTTGCTCTATTATCCAAAAACTGTTGAAGTCGATAGAATTCGTTGAGAACAATCTGATTAAAGACAAAATTGTGCTTTGAAAAAAACCACAATAATGGCTCACTTCTTAAAAAATAGCATTTCCATGAAAAAAGGACCATCTTTTTATAACTTCACAAAAAGACACCCAAATTAATTATTTCTCGTCTGTTTTTGGATGTATGTTATAGGCGAAGGTCCAAAATACTTGGAAGGTTTGAGAGAAAGTTGAAATAACTCGACAAATCGGTCGGCTAAAACAATGGTCCGTGCAGTGTAAAGTGAATGTGCTATTCGATAGCCTATGAATAAAGGTTTAATGAATTAAAGTTTTGTTGTTTAAATGGCAGACGTCTGAATTTGTACAAACACTTATGATACATATGTTATTATGATGAATTATTTGGATCCCATTTCGGAGTGGGTACTTCACATTTTTCCAGTGTGTCCATAATATATAGATATCGGTACATTATATATGGTCTTCCATATATTGCCGCACGACACCGTATCGCACGATAGAAGTGACATTTATTAGACGGCAAAAATCACAAGTCGCCGTGCGGCAGTAGCAAGAACTGTGTGTATGCGTCACCATGTTTGTCGTCCGCACTCGGTGTCTTCCAGAAATATCTTCCATATATATTGTGTCGATATAGCATCGATACCGACACTATTTCGTGCTATTTCTATATATTGTGGACACACATCATTTTTCTGTCAATTCAATGGTGTTTAAAAAGGTCAATACTTACCAAAATATTTTATAATAAATTGATTGAAACCAAATGCGGACTTAATTTTCATTTATTTTCAAATTTTCGAGAAATTAGCTTTGATTACAATACGGGGACATTTTTTCGCATATTTCACTAACACTATTATTGATAATTAAATGTTAAAGAATTCTATTTGCAATTTTCATTGGTTTACATTTGTAAAACAAAAAGCATCTATACGAGAGATCAAAAGAAGAGCATATTATCTTGGTTCGTTATTTCACTAGTAGATGTGTGAGTGTCTACATTTGTTTTAGTATTGTGTTTGATTTCAGTTTCTCCGTTTAAAATTCAATTATATTTTCATTTAAAAAATGTGCTTTTATTTTTAGCGCTTTATTATAGATCGAAATTTATGATTAATTGGATAAGTACTAGTCATTTAATAATATGCATCTTATCTCTTATTAACATGTTATAAGATTTTATATTATGTCGTCAGAACAGTTCAGTGGTAATAAGATCAAGTCAAAATGGGTCAAACTAAAAAATAAAACGAATTTTCAGTTCATAAAAAAAGTCGTAAAGTTGGTATCAGTATTTTAGAATGATCGCACTGAACTTGAAAAATGAAATTATCTTAATACCGTATTGCCTATTTTTATTTTTCGTAAGTAATTTTTTTCTTCAGAATTGTCTTCGCAAATCAACATTTCATTATTTTAATGAAACACAACCGAGAATGTTTTGTTTGAGCGGTACTCTTAGAGACTTTTATCGGTAGCTTTGTACAAAAATTTCTTTTATAGTAAAAAAAAACCTAAACATAAATATGTGTAACATATTCTAATAATATTCGAACCGCTTTTTCAGAGGAAAAAAAGAAATATTTTCAACATAATATTACAATTGATAACACATTGATAATTTGACAAGATGTACATTATTAAAAAAAAAGTTTAGTAACAAAAGTAAATTAAACTAAATTCGGAACAACTTTTCACATCTATTATTGAAACGAAAGGTGTTCTATTTCCTCTTCGGCATTCTATTAATTAATCAACGATTATTTCAACATTATTATTCAGTTCAAAGTCACTCATTTAAATCGAAATCTATGTGATGCTAATTGGCCGCAATTGTAAGTAAAGCATAAACTTTTGAGCCACGAATTTTGTGTAAAAAAATGTCAACTTAATTTTCTTCATATGTGCTCAAAATCTATCGATTTTTACAGAAACTGAATTAATTGAGATACCTTATAATTTCATCCAAAAATCTATAGATTTTTCGCCGTGTTTGTGTGTGCTTGCATTCTAAGCATTTAATTTGATAAAATTGTGAACTAAAACTTGTCTCAGACTACGATTATATTAGCGCAGAGATTATAAAATCAGTCTGATATATATTGTATAAATGATGCATGCGGATGCTACAGCACCTATTTTTTTATGATATATATGTATAAGTATTAGATAATTTGCGTTAACTGTGTTTCAACTTCTTTTTTTTTTCTCACTAAGATTGGCTTATTGATATTACAGTACACAATCTTTATGTTGTTGATTTTTTTTTTTTTGATAATTCAATAGGCGTTTTTTTTTTAATTTTATTAATATCTTGTCAAAATTGTTTGTTTAATTTTCTTAGTTTTTTCTTTTAATTTGCAAGGCCACCACTTATGTACATTTGAACAGCCGGAAAACAAAATGAAAAAGTCTTAGATATCTGAACATTGTGTAATGATTGTATTTGGTAATAGCTTGATTTTAATGAATAAAGTATGTTGGATTTTAATGTGAAAAAGAAAATTAAGAGAATGTATTTAATGTAATTAAGTCAAAGAAGAAAGACATTGGGGGGAGAGACTCGAAAGCTTCATTCGATTACTGGCAGCGTAAGAAAAGAGCTGAGGTAAGCATTATGCATCTGTCCTGTTTTTACATCTATCGAAAAGGCATCACTTTTCTAAACTTAGTAAAAATGTTTAATCGCTTTGATATTTATTTTTTAATTTTTTTTAACTATAATTCGGACTGTGTGTGTGTGTGTGTATTTATTTTCTCTTTTGTATTTACAAATAATAATTTTTTTAAGCAAATAGATTTTCATTTTGTATTGTATTTTATTATTTAGCCTAAAACGGTTTGATAATCATTTTTGTTGTTGGTCATTTTCCATATTTTTCGCAAAGCATTTTCGATCATTAAATCACTTTGGAGTGGAAAACTTCAACACTTATTACTATCTGTTAAATGTATGTGTCATCGATTCGAAGTAAATTGTCGTAGATAGTAATTCAATTTGGTCATTAATTAGTAGTAAAATATTTGCGTGTAATTTTGACATAACCAACCATAAAGCCATATTGCAATACGTTTGAAACAGCTGAAACGCGTGAATATTCATAGAATTGCATTTTTCACATTTTATATTGTGTATTTTCTTTATGTGGTTTTTTTCTTCATTTGTTATTTCCCATGTTATGCAGATCTAAAAGTCCGATTAGTTGAGCATGTCGGATCGATTTAAAAAAGTTTTTTTTTAACATTAAACGTTATGAATGAGTTGAAAAATTGAAAATGCAGGAATTTCACGCGTAAAATGCGTACGTTTCGTGCAACAAACTGGTTATATATTGTAATAAACCGATGGCAAATTGTATTGAATGTCATACCCATTAATACTACACATTTAATGTGATTCACAGTATTTTCTCTCTATTTTTTTTATTTTTCATTTCAATAAAATCATTCATGCTCCTACATACAATTAAATGTATTTCTCATTTTTAAGATGATGCGGTACGTTTAATCGCATTTTCTTCATAAATCTCATGTGTAACACTTATTGTGTGTAACAAACAAAAATTCATTAAAAATTATTTAAAAATTTAGGATTGCCGATGCATCAAATGCTTCACATATTATAATTTGTTCAAGTAAATTTCAGATTTTAATTACTAGAAATAAAATTTATATTTAATCTCAAATGAATAAAATTTATTATTAGTCTTGTAGTCTATCTTTTTCAATGAAAATTGCTATTTCGTTTAATTTGCGATGCAAGTGTTGTTCTCTAGGTTATTCTTAAATAAAATTCAATAAAATCGCTTCAACGTGATAAATAAGTATAAATAAATGTTTCTTTTTTGTACGTTAAAGGAGACAATTTCATCTTTTTTTTTCATTTTATTTTTTGATAAAATAATTGCGTGAGAATTCAACATATGTATTTATAATGCTTTGAGATTAATTATTTTACACACAGCCAATAAAAAAAAGAAAGAAAGGGAAAAAAGTATTGCGTGTTTGTTCTATGTTTTGTTTTGTTTCATTGAAAATTAGTGTTCATCTTATTTAAAATGACAATATTGGAATACGATTAGTATTCCAACATACAAATTGTTAAATGACAATTTATTAAATCACATAAGCTTCCATTGGAATAAGTTTTCATAATCATCGGCATCATCGTTGCTAAGCTATATTCCGAAGCTTTTATGTAAAAGAGTCTAATATTTAACCGACAATTGTTGCAAAGAAATTATGGTGATTTGTCTAATGTAGTGGAATGTTTGCTATCCTGTAAGAACGATTGAAATACGTGTCTTTATACAATTTATCCAAATTTCTTGTAATCTTCACGCACCTGATCGATTTCATCGAGAGATTCTAATTTTGCGATTGGCGCAAAAGCTGTCCATTGCTCAGTGTCATCAAGTGTTTGGTTGAATGATGAAAATTTGGAACATCTATTGAATAAATGCCAACATTTTTATTGAATTAAATGTTAAAATTACGGGGTTTTTTTGTTAATAAAAAAATACCGCAAAAGATTTTTTTCGGATGAACTATTTGTGCACTCTGGTTGTGATATCGATCGATGAACTTGTGTGGATGATCCAGCCGTTGCAATTCGATGTGCATGTTGTGCCTGTCGTTTTGTATCCATACCAAGTTCAAATGAAAAATCGCTTCCGGATGGTTGTATTGATGACGTCATTAACAGATTTAGCTTTTCTTGTGCCATTTGGTCTTTTATTTGATACTTTTCACAATGCTTTTCAACACCTGACTGAGATTGTAAGATCTCTAAAATATTTGTTATGTCTTTTTTAATGCTTATCTCCATGTTATCTAGACGCGATGCTAGCTCATTGAATTGTGTTGTAAGAGGACTGCAAGCATAAGAAATTCGATATAGTTTTGATTTGTATTTTAATAAAATTGAATAAAATATAATAAAATATACGATTATTCTACCTAATTTCATGCATAGATTGTGGCCGATGAACATGTTGATATGGATGGTAATGATAGTGATGATGACTATTGCTCGATAGTGCTGCATCATCTTCATCTAAATCGCAACGTGGTTTATCGATGTGTGCAGTAACATTATCAATGGGACCTCCTTTTGTTACAGCGGGACCACAAGTACAACTTGTCGTTTGTATAGCACTTAATGTAACCGCATCCCTTTCTTTTTCATGACAACCCACACCATTTGTTCCGAATGTATTTTGATTACGAAATGCATAACACTTGCCACTTGTACTTGCTCCATTTTCAACATGATGCTTTGGACTAGTGCAAGGTGATTCTTTATTTTCCAACGGTTGATGCTTAATATTACGCAAATCAGGAATGCTGCGCTTGATGTGTGTTATCACATCGCTCAGTGAGTATCTATGTCGCGGTTCATAATCGTCATCTGGTTGGTAACCCGTATCTCCAGTGTGCCTAGAACACAAATTCATTCCATTCATATTCAAATTGTTTGTTTTTTTTTTTTTAAATAACCATCTACTTACAATCGGTATGAACGAGTTTCACTGTTTTTGTCAGATACAACTTCTTGCTCCTTTTCGCGAGACGTTGTTCTTCTGAATCGATGACGCAACTCAACGCCCGACTGTTCATCCTATTTGTTATTCAAATATTATTAATCACGTGTAATATATTTTAATTGATAAAAAAAACTATACATGACACTAAATAAAAATATAAATACTATATTAGACATCGGCACAACATTTCAAATATTTAAAATTAGTAATTCTATTCACGTTTATATTCTAATCAAATTGGAAAAACTTTTGATGTTTTATTTACAAGAAAATAAACTACGGTTCAGACGGCTAAAGATGAATGAACTTGAAATAAAAATACGAAACTATATTAAATGACTGTATTAAGGTATATTGAACTCACGTCTCGCATATTGAATGTAATTTCTAAATTATTAACAAAACATTCATAAAATTCTGGATACAGATCTAATACGTCTAATAAATCTTCTCTACGAATCTTATGAAGGTCACAGTAGGTTAACGCACGAACATTACTATTTGACTTTCCCCATGTTGAATGTATACATGGATTTTCACCAAATATATCGTCCTTGCCTATTTATCAAATGAAAAAAACCAGTGTGATTTCAGCGGTATATTAAATTTTTCATAATGAAACTGATCTTACCCAATATCGCCATAACAACATCATCCTTTAGTATTTCAATAGACCCTCGAGCTATGAAATACAGAGATGTCAAGACGTCACCTTTATGAACAAGCGTATCACCTGTAAATATGCGACACAAACACAAACAACCTTAACAATGGTTTTATTTTCAAAAACGAACATATTTGGCAAACACTTACCGGGAGGTGCGTGTGTTGTTTTGAATTTCAAAGACAACGCTCTGGAAGAATAAACAAAATTGATAGAAAAAACCATTAAATTTCAAGCAATCTTTTGTATATTAATAAAATATCGTCGAAGTTTTTCATTATTTTGGAACACAAATTGGCTAGGGGCTTAATACGGCAAAAAAATTCACAGGAATTCACGTAAATTCACATTTTTGAATCGAGTGGTTATTGATGAGTTCGGTAAATTCGTGTGAATAGAATGAAATGTGTCAAAGTAATAAAGTGAGGTTACGATAACCGCAATATTTTTTAATTTATTATTTTTTCAATATTTACAATTGTTTTCGATAGAAAATCGCTCAAAATTGAAAATAAAATTAATTTTTATTAAAAAAATATAAAAAGCATTTACAATTTTGTTACACAAAATATAAATATTTCAGTAATTGCCAGCAGAAACTATTCACCACTATCTCACATATTTGAATGAAATCGCCGTAGAATTCACCGGAATTCATTCGTTTGCAGAAAAATTCAGTTAATTTAGATATTATTGGAAGTATAAATTAAAACGTAAGGATTTTTCACTGAAATTGGGCAGTTATTTCAAGAGAATGGTACACATTTTTTTATTCAAAGTATTGTCCATCGCTAGCCACTACTTTTTCCCATTTTCCAGGCAATTCATGGATTCCGTGCCAAAAGAATGGGTGTTGTTTTGAACGAACCACGAACCGACCACTTTTTTCAAATATTCCAATATATTATATAAAATACTCTTGTAAATACTAGAGTACAAGTATTTGCTAAAGCACAAGTACTTGCCAGAGTACAAATTGTAAAAATATATATTATTGAAAAGAAAATGTTTTAATGAAAAACCGAAAAAATGGTTTTTTCTTGATTTGTATAATTAAAAAAATGTTTTATTTTAGTTTTTTTATTTTTTATTGTGTGTTTTATTTATTTATTTATTTATCCGTGGATTATGGTGGATTATGTACATTAAACTAATTTTGAACAATAAGTTCATTGTGCAAGAGTACTAGATTTGTACTAAAACTAGTACTAAAATCTAGTACCAAATATCAACGAAAATTTTATAATTGACATAACCTCTTCTTTGACCACATTTATTTGAAGCGTCTCAACATGGTAAGTTTGCTTCTTTTCACATATTTTAAAAATATTTTATTTAAAACTTAGAATATTTAAAAAAAATTACTAGATTAAATGTGGTCAAAAAAGAGGTTATGTCAATTATAAAATTTTCGTTGATATTTGGTACTAGATTTTAGTTTTTAGTACTAGTTTTAGTACAAATCTAGTATTCTTGCACAATGAACGTATTGTTCAAAATTAGTTTAATGTACATAATCCACGGATAAATAAATAAATAAATAAATAAATAAAACACACAATAAAAAATAAAATAAAACATTTTTTTTTAATTATACAAATTAAGAAAAAACCATTTTTTTGGTTTTTCATTAAAACATTTTCTTTTCAATAATATTTTTACAATGAGTCGTTCAAGTAACTAGAGTAATACTCTAATAGCTAAAGTATTTTGTTAAGTATATTGGAAATATTGGTGGCATATTCGTATATATTTGTTTATATTCTTTTTCGAAGTTGTTTCGCAATCTCCCCCTAGACCGACCCAATTTGCGATTTCCTCCGAAGAAGTGAAGCGTTTGCCTGCCAATTCGTTTTGCATCGTTCAAAACAAGTAGTAATCAGAAGGAGCAATGTCTGGTGAATACGGCGGGTGGGGTAAGACTTCCCACTTAGTTGTTTCCAAGTATTGTTTGACGACATTTGCAACATGTGGCCAAGCATTGTCATGTTGAAGAATTAACCGGTTGTGTTTTCCCCTCCATTCTTTCCGATCTTTGTCCAATGCTCGCTACAATCGCATCACTTGTAGTCGATAGAGATCTCCTGTGACTGTTTCACCCGGTTCCAGAAGCTCATAATACACGATACCCTTTTGATCCCACCAAACACAGAGCAT